CATCCACTGCGCAGCTTTTCCTGGACTGTCATTTCTAAATACTACAACTTTACAATAGGCCGCAATCAGTGGCCGCCATGCTGAGTGGACCCAGCTGGACTCCACCACCCAATAGCAAAATAAAATTAATTAATTATTACCCGACTGCTGTTAACCATATCCACATTTTCTTAGCAACTCTCATTATTGGAGAAACAAGCAGAATTACAATTTTGCAGCACTCAGATTAAATGAATATCAACACACCTTACTGTTCTTGGTAACATACACATACAATTACCAACTTATTCTACAATATCGAACGTTATTTAAAAATATAGCATAAAATAAAACATTTATATACATACACATACACAAAATCATAAGCTGGACTGTAATATATACATGGAAACACCATAAAAAGAATCAATGCACTTCAAAAGAACTAAATACTGGATTAATATCATACAAATTTTTTTGAATCAATAAAAATTATACATCTGTCATATTTAGATACAATTCTAATTTTAATAAATATATAATCACTACTCTCTGTGTTGTGAGGGTCACAAACATAATCTGAAGCCCATCATATATTTCTCATTCATTCATGCCTGTCTTTAATGCAACTTAAAAATGTTCACAATCTCTCTTTAATTTTAAATAACATTAAAATCACATCAACTGCTACATGTTTTGGCCTTACTTGGCCACCTTTGAGCAACTGTTAACTTTTTGAAAACTGTCACATTACAGAAACATTGATGCAGCAAAAGGAAAATAACTTGGAACAGAGAGAGAGCTTCATTCTCATACAAAAGTATTTTAGTGTGAATAACAATAATGCAATAGCATGGAAATATATTGACTTAAGATCTAGTGCAGTGAAACAGTTTTCAAAAGTAAATGCTTGCCTGAAAATGACCAAGTAAGGCCGAAACATGTAACAATTGATATGATTTTCATGTTATCTGAAATTAAAGAGAGACTGTAAACTTTTTAAGTTGCATTAAAGATGGAGATGGGTGAATGACCGAGTGATACATGAATGCAACAGGATACTCAAGTATAATAGGTAGCTTATATTTACTTACTTTTCTTCTGTTTTCTGAACAAGAGCAATCCTACCATAATTCCAAGCTCGCTTTCTCAGAACTGCAAATAAGATCATAAAAATCTGAAACATAAAATAAATGCCCATTTAGAAACACTGTTTCCTGAAAACAGATGGGAAACAAATGACAGTACAGCAAACTACAACATTAAATGTAAGAAACGTATATAGGGTACATGGAGTTTTAGGCGATATGTGGGTTTATTTACCGGTAATGTTGTCCCTGTGTGTAACTAATTAAGCACTATGCTATGAAGGCCTATGGGGAAGTGGATTACAGCTCCACATTTTCTTGACCTCAGCACTAGTTTGAAATGAGTGGTCAGCTTCATATCCCTGCTACTTTACCCCCAAGCCCCTGGTACCCGTTGGACAGGAGGCTGGGTGGGCCCCAGAGCTGGCCTGGATGACATGGAGAAAAGAAAATTCTTGACACTACCAAGACTGAGCTCCATCCCTCGGTCATCCAGCCTATAGTGAGTCACTAGACTGACTGTGCTACCCTGGTTCTTTATTTATGCAGATGGTAAACAAAATGCAGGGAGTCATAAATAAGGTAAACACAAGTAACAAGACACAATTTCTAGAATAAAATTCCAGATTTTCATCTATGCATGGACCGTTTCCATGAACATTCTGTTCATGCATGTTTAAAAGTGAAATAAATTAAGTTTACTTATATTTCTATGGCATTTACATGTCAGAATATCAGATTAACACCAGCATATACTAGAAGCTGATGTATGGAATTCAGTTTCAAATTCTCTCAATTCTTTCGAGTCTCCTTCATTCCAAATGAAAGTCAATTCTAACTCATGGGAATATATCAGACAAATGTTCCTATATATTTCACTGAAATGCATTATGATTAATCTCACTAGCCTCCTGGCTATACAACATTCAATGAGAATGTCATGCAACACTGTTCTCTTAGCTGAATCTTGTTCTGAAATGCACATATACTGTCTCATTACAATCCCATCATTCTTTGACATATTTGAAGAACAGAAAGTTCAACATGCAAATTTGCTATTATGTTTTGAATCTGTGCCAATGGACATTTCAGCCACCACAATAAGGCATATGAAAATAAAGAAAGGGAAAAATCTCAGAGAGCCAAAAATAGGATAGGCGATCACATAGTGTAAATTGCCAGCTAACAAATAAATATAACCAAGAAATTAAAGTAAAGATAAAAAATAAATGCAGCGGTAATTCACTTATCAATGAAAATATACTGAAATGGTTGTTAAACGATACTTTTATGGTTATTTGTGAAAATGTCATAGAATCATGCATGGTTTCTGTCTTTGAATGCATATTTAGTAATAATACTCTCCAAGAATTCTCTAAATCTAAGATTTACAAATAACTTCTGCCAGAACAACCACTTCCCAGCATAAGATTTGACCTGGGTATTTCCTCAGTGCAAGCCTAGAACATTATTGCTTTACAGGCCTGGTTGATAGGGCTGGGTCAGAAACATTGGAATGCTTGGAAACTGAGGTTCTCACACTTATGGGTATTCTGATTACAGTTTTCTGTGATATAGCATCTACTTCTGCATAGAATGTAGTTTCTTAATGGATCTATGGTGAACTAATAAATGAATGAATGGGTAACAACATTTCACAGGAATCTGTTGCCTCCACCTTCTGTGAATATGCAAGCAGGATGCTCTGTTGAAATCTTGATGCGTAACTATATGGTGCCACATCACAGAAGACCACAATCTGAATTAAAACGTTTGTAGAGTAAGTGCAAATTACAGCATGGTCCTTCCACAACTAGGTGGCTTTAATAGTTACTCCTTAGATACAGTTTGACATGGTAAGTTCCATCAGATTACATTATATTATGGAAACTAACATGTAATTTGCATATTCATATTTGGTCCAATAACCATAAATAAAATATTAAATCAATGACTGAATTCGAGTATTAAATAGGTTGGAATTATTTTAATGAAACCTGATACATGTTTAAGAACTCTTTCACAATTCTGCTAAAATTGTGGAGCTTCACTGACTGACTGTCGCCCAAAATCTACACATTGCCTATGTACATAAGACTGGAAGATATGCATTATTTGCATCCAGACTTAAAAACAACTGCGTACCATCCATCCCAAGAAGTTAAGAAGCAGGTTTTCTGGTATTCCTTCATATGCAGAAGTGAAAATCTTGTTGGTAGTTTTATTATAATAGACACACTTATCTCTTGAAGTATGTAGTGGTTCGTTCATAAGCTCACTGGAAAAAATAGACACGTCGATGCATTTTAGATATACTGTAAAAAGTAATTACTGCAAATAACAAATCACGGATTCATTAAAGATAATATTTTCCCCACCTTTCCGTGAAGCGAAATGCCATCTTAAACGCAAGGTAGGTTTACTGCTGACAGGATTTCAGTTCCTTCTGAAATCGTAAGATGTGCATTTGACAGCTGGTTAGCAAATTAAACTTTCCCTTTCCTTCTGTGCCACGATGAACACATATTTCAATACATCCAATGAATCATAAAACTACATTTACCCCCTGAAAATCCTACTTTAAGATGCGAGTACAAATTACAATTACCTTAAAAATAAACGTTAAAAATTAAGGCTTCACAATTCTGCCCTGACAACACTTTACCATCTACCATTTCAGACCCTGGCTACCATACAAGATACAGAACACACTGACAACCCTGACAACCACTTACTACCAACGATCCTGAGCGTCAGCAACAGCGCCAATAAAGAGCCTAAATTGCACGGACACGTACTATAACTCCACTAGCCACGCTCCGGACTCGCTGCCGCAACTGACAAACTGACAGCTTCTTTCAACACCTTGGTCAGCACGTCTGCCTCTCAGTCTCCAGTGTTCCTAGGCCAAGGAAGAAAGAACCTATCATTTTAATTATGTCGCTTCATATATCAATACATACAACCTGTAATACTTTCCATCCATGTTAAGTCTTATAGTTTTATTTTCTGAGACCATAAGATAATGTAACGAGAAGTGTGAATTAAGTTATTACGTATACGAAACCGTTTCTCTACCTCTAACAATTTCACTTCAAGAGGTTCAAGAGCGGGACAGATGAAATCACGCATCACAGATTACTTACATACACGGAATAGTAAAGAAGTAAAGCAACCAGTAAGATTTGAGGCTTTCACGGCGGTGACTATGAAGAAAGCAGTCGTCTGGGATTTGGCACCGTTCCAGAAGACTGCTTTCTTCTTAAAGGAACCAGGTTTAACTAGTCAACAGACCGTCACGTTTTATGGAATCCATCAGAGACTACATATCATATTATATTATTTAATTCGTTGAATTACATAATACATAAAAACTTTAAAAATATTATGTTTTCGGTCATTATCAATCGTCGTCCTATTTTTATTAAAAAAACACTATTACTGCAAGAGGTACATGATAATGCGGAAATAAAAAGTACGTATTCTTAACGAACATTAAGTTGTGACGTTTTACAGTGCAAATCAATTTTTTTTTTTCCAATGTAAGTCAGGTTGAATTTAATTTCACAGCTGTCTTTAACTTTTAGATCAGTGGAACCTTCCCTCTATAAGAAACAGCTCTCCTTCACTTCACATAACACTCATACAAATACAAACAACATTCATACAGGTTTAAGATGAACACAACATGGTACGTATTTTATATATCATTATGTATATCTTAATCCCCTCTGCCACCACATATGGTATTTCACAATTTAATTCCAACTTGTGTCCATGCTGAAAGAATTATTCTAGTGAACCCACTTTACTTACCTGAAAGTGGCTTTTAGATATACAAGCACATTTGATAGTGATGCAAGAAATTCTGTGGCACACTTTGAATATTAGTGATTTCTGGAATAATGTTCCAGGTTTCAGTCTCTATAAAGCCTTCACTATGCATCATTTATATATGTAGATTTTCTCTAGCAACTGTTCACAGAAGTGAAAAGTCGCACACTTTCCAACAGTCAGCTTCATAATATTGTTACATGACAGCTGAAAGCTGGAGTAGAAGGCCAAGAAATGTTGTCCATTGCCAGGTAACTTCCAGTAAACCTGTACCCATGGCAACGAAACATGCTCCTGCGTCAAAAATATCTGGACCATTACTATGCAACAGCCCATTTAACATGTTTCTCAACAGTGGAGGACTTCTTTGAAGCCATGTTTCCTATGCTGTTTGAGTGGAAGTTATTTAACGAGGATACCAGCCAAGTCTACAGCCAGGAGCCGGAGGCTGGAATTGGTGATTAAAGTGTTGAGTTACATTGTTAGACACTGATACAAAGAAATGACTAGTGAACACACAGAAGACTCAATGTTTGCAGTAGTGCTTTTTAAGGTATGGAGATTGGTAACAGTGTTAAAATTATTTGTAGTTAATGAATTATAAGCATCTGTTAAGTTCAGTTTCCAGTCTGAGCCCCTATTCCACTAACTATCACATGACAATGTTACTTCATGGAGAACACTCCATAGAGATCACTCTGTCGTCTGTGGTGTTTCCTGAAGAAATACATGGCAAGTCTCTTATTGCAAAGGAAAAAAAAAAAAGAAGGTAAAATTATCCCTGTAATAGCCCATGGAGTTCCATAGGTTTATCAGGCATTGAGGCTCCCATATCTTCTAGACAGTCAGCTCACAGATGGTGAAGTTGTCGGCCTTGTGTGCCAGCAGTCCTCTATCCACAGGAAGATCCTTGGTACTTATTTCTGTTAGAGACTGAATGGACCCCAGAGCCATAGTGCGGCTGGAAAGATCAGCGATGTTGAAAATCACTCAGCCCGGGTCAAATGGAAGAAATAATGCAATGACTGGACGAGTTGCTGCAATAAGTTAACAAATTTGCTGTCATGGAAACCAGTGTGTGTTTTTTCCACTTATTGCATCAGATACTGAAATTGTAGTGAAAGGAAAAGTGTTAGTAATACTTCCAAGAATTCCTTATCTGTTGTTATTTTCTTGACTTATAAGGAATTTTGTGCACCGTTGGATATTGCATTTGTTAATGCGTGTGTTTTGAAACCAATGTGTTGGAAACATAAGGAACTAACGTGA